ATAAAATAATGGTTCATAAAACTGGGCTAAATATTGCAGTTGATAAATCAAGATGGATATTAGACATTTTATATCAGTATAACATGTTATCATTTACATACGAGTTAATCAACTTTATCAAACCTTGTATGAATCTGTTGTAGCGACTAACAACTGGACAATTTTTCCGAACTTGGATCAGCCTTTTAGGCCGTCCATGGTCCAACAGGCCAATTGACCCCCTTTTAAAAGGAAATTCACTCATATTACGCTTTTGTAGCTGAGAACAGACTAAAATGAACTTTTCAAACACAAGAAAACGACAAATATAAACCCAACAAATCAAATAAATTAAATAATTTTAATAAAATATATAAGCTTAGTGTATATGAGGCTTTTGATGTTTTGGATCTACAACAATTTAAAACTTTTTCTCCACCAAAATTAGTAAACTTTGATCCTTTCTCCAAAATATTCTTCACATTGAGAGTTAAATTGACATTTTTTGTGGCCCATGAGTTCTTTCATCTGGATAGTTTTGGCCCACATGAAAATGTTTGGCCTTAGATGAACGTTGGATGAAGCCAGTTCAGATGTCAAATTTTAAATCCACCAGACTTTCTCTTAAACACACAGAAGAACACGTTCCCTGTTTTCATGTTTAGCAATTGTTTCCAACCAAAAAGGAAGGGAACCTGTTCGTCTACAGGTCGGACAGCATGTCTGACATTGTTCTCTGCATGAGTTAGCCTTTACTTACACAGAAACCTCTGTTTCTTGCTCAGGCACCGGACCTGCAATGAAACCAAAGTTTTAATTTTATAATTTGAGTAATTAATGATTAAAAACATTAAATGACCAATAAATTGGAAATAGGAATAAATAAGCGTCACTTACTCGTCTCTGGCTTTGGGTTGCTGGAAAACAAAAAAGGTAAAATAATCAATAAAGTGTCATGTTTAAGTTTATATAGCACACATCTTGTTGCATTAAAAGCTACCTTAGGGTTGGATTTGCAGGTTTTGGAGATTGTAAAAATATCTCCAGCTTCTGAAGTGCCTCTTTTCTTGCCCTGAAAAAAAAAAAAAAAAAAACACTTAAAAAATTTCTATCTGCTTTACGTTCCATTCATGTGTCTAAAAGGTGAACTCACTGAGTTTGGGAGTTGTCACATATGTCATCACTCTGACTGTGCTGGTGGTTTATGGGGTGCTTATATCCTGCAAATAGAAAGAAAGAGGACATTCTGATATTCTGATTAATCAACCGTGATCAAATAAAAAAAAAGTCTGATTGCAAAACCTCAACCTTGTCGTCACATGTTCGGTAGCTTCCGGTTTACATCAACAACCGGCTTTTCAACGCTGCAGTGATTCAGCGTTGGAAATATGCAAAGCTGAGAGCTCATTAAAATACCTTTGGAGCTGTTTCGGTTGTTGGAGTCATCCAAGTCAGTTGGAGTCGGTTTCAGGTTTTTAAAAGTGTTGAATTCAAAAGCTACCCCCACCCCCCCTCCCCAATCTAAGGTTTTTAAAAACAGCAGTTTCTTCTGCTCCAGGAAGAGCAACCTTTACATCAATGTGAGGAAGACGAAGGAGATGATCGTGGACTTCAGAAGGAATAAACATACCAACACCCCCACCCCCCCTTCCTCGAACATAGGAGGTTCTGTGGTGGAAGTGGTCTCCAGCTGCAAGTACTTGGGTGTACACATGAATGACAACCTCAGCTGGAGCAACAACACCACCAGCCTGATCAAGAAAGCTCATCAGAGACTCTACTTCCTCAGACGGCTGAGGCGAGCTGGTCTGGGAAGCTCAGTCCTCACCTCCTTCTACAGGTGTGCAGTGGAGAGCATCCTGTGCTCCAGCATCAACGTGTGGCATGGAGGCTGCACAGCTGCAGAAAGAAAAGCTTTGCAGAGAGTGGTGAAGGCTGCACAGAAGTCTGTTGGAGTCAGTCTCCCCACCATCACAGACAATTACACCTCCAGATGCAGGAAGAGGGCCACCTGCATCATGAAGGACCCCACTCACCCAGCACACACACTTTTTGCCCCGCTCCTCTCAGGCTGGACGTTGAGGAGCATTAAGTGTTGAACCACTAGACTGAGGAACAGCTTCTACCCTGAGGCTGTTAGACTCATGAATCTCTAACCAGGATAACCACTAAAAAAAAAATCACTGTAATGCCACTTGATTGTTGATATGTGCTGCTGATTATCCATGCTGCTGATCTTATGCTGCTGATTTACTGTTTCATGCTGCTGTGTTCATTCATACTCATCTGCTCACACAGACTCATGTTCATGCTGCTGTTGTTCGGCGTATTGTTTTTGTACTACTAGTGCTTAGTGTATTCATAGTTTAGTGTATTTCTTAGTTCATATCTTAGATCTTATTACTGTTTTTCTTTACAAATTATACTTTTGTTGGATGTAACTGGGACCCTGTGTACACCATTTCATTCCACTACATGTACCACATGTGGTGCGAATGACAATAAAGACACCTTGACCTTGACCTTGATTATTTCAAATTGTTGAATTAATGTTTTTTTTGGTACTAAATTCAAGACAATCTTGAAATCTAAGCGATAAAACAACGCTTTCACTAACACATTATTCATATGATTCTGATTTTACCAAGGTGTGTTTTTTTTTTTTTGCCTTACCCAAAATGGAAACAATTACAAATGAAAATAACTTGGGTTTTAGTCGTAAGTGAAAATCACTGTTCTTTTAAATATGTCAAGTTATTTGTACCATTAGTGGTGTTTTTCACCACAGTTTGTACACGGAGGGCTATTTCAAGCACATGGTACATTATTTTTGTTTTCATTTTATTTTCTACTATTTGGGGAAGTGGTGGCGCAGAGGCTAGGGCCTGTGATTGGAACAGTGGTGGAAAAAGTACTCAATTCTAGTACTTAAGTAAAAGTATTGATACTCTTGGTCAAATCTTACTCAACTACAAGTAAAAGTTGCTCAGTCAAAAGTTTACTCAAGTTAAAATACTGAGTACTTTTGAAAATACTTAAGTATTCAAAAGTACATGCATTTAAAATATTCAAGTATTTAAAAGTACAAATTATATTTTCTAATATCCGTACATTGCTGTATTGTTTGAGTGATTTTACAGAACCTTGTAACTCTCTGAAACTAACTGATGATGTCAAAAACACAAAGTTTGTTTTCTCAGTCATCCAGGTATATAACAACAAAAAA